TGGTTCCACCATGGTGTGACACTGGGCAAGTCAGTCCACTTCCCTGAGCATCAAATCTCTTTTCTTTGAAAGTGGGGATATGATGGGTTCCATGAGGACTAAACAAGCCCCTATGTGCATCAGTCCTGGTTTCCTTCTGTTGCAGAAACTTGGAGGCACTCTGTCGTCTGTGAGGAAAGGGTTCATTCCAGAACACACTTGTAATGTGGTTGGTCAGTCATTTCCCCTCTAGCTGTCTTCTCAGAAAATCTCCTATTCCCTGTTCTTTCCACATGCTGGTGATGCCCTCTTTGAAACACACAATGGATTCTTTTCCACATTTGGGTAGGTGAGGACACTTTGCAGATTCTAGAAATAGCCTAGGTTGAACCCAATGACCACATGGCCCCTGGCCTAGTGTCAACTGTTCTAGGTGCTGGGGATATGGCAATGGACAAAAGAGAAATCCAAATCCTTGTCCTCGTAAGCTTGTTTGTCAACGAGGACCCCTTCCCATGGTTTCTTGGAATCTGGTGAGGGGTAAATACTCAAAATTCATAGAAAACCACAAGTTGTCCTCAAATTGACCCAGTGAAGCTCACTGACCCCTGGGAACACCAGGAATGTGGCTGTAGCCAGAACTTCTCAAGCTGCGATGTATTCAGGGATCACCTGGGGCTCTTGGCACCTGTCAGATCCTGGCTCCGCAGGTCGGGGGTCTGGTCTAAGAATCTGCATTTCTAACAAGTTTGGATGTCTCTGGTCTACGGACCACACTTTGACTATCTAGGGTTTAAGTGATGCCTTATCTCATCCCACCAAATGTAATCTTATTTTCCTGTAGCTTTTAGTAAAACTCTGAATACACAGAAGAAAAATTAATTTTATTAGCATATTCCAGTTGTCTACATTTTTGGACAAGGCTGTAGGTATGGATGTCAGATCTGGTTTTCAAGTGACCAGGAGCAGCCTGAAGCATGCACTTCACTAACGCAAGCCCATTTGCTCATCTGTGAGTAGAGACTCTTCCGGCTTCTGTCTCATTCATGCAAAACCTTAATTGTTGGACATTTTTAAGGGATAGATTTAAAGTCTCCACTTGACCATTTTAATCTGATATTTTTAGTTAAGTTGTGTGCCATCTCTGGCAAAGTTGCCAGGGTTCTGAAATCTTACCTTTAGCAATGACACGCTGGCATTTTGAATGCACACCCACTGTCTCTAGAGCAAATATACAAGAGGCAACCATTCGTTTAATGTTTACTAAGTGCCAGGCAATATGGTGTCTACTGTGCAGGGATTAGCTCATTTAATCTTTACAACAACTCTATGATTCAATGATTTTTCCAAAGAGTCAAAACAAAAACCACAAAACTGAAGGTCACAGAGAATGTCATTGGCCTAAATGCGTATCTTTTATAAAAGGGTGCAATGAAGATTGGACCTGGCTCTGATTTCTAGACCCACGCTTTTGAATATATTTAAATAATTTCAGTGACAACAGAGTTACTGTAGCAAAACAAATGCAGAAACATGGCCAAGGAAGTTAAAATGCTCAGCTCTGTATCAAGTCTTTTATTTTATTTT